AGAGAGAGAGAGAGAGAGAGAGAGAGATCACAAACAAGCCTAATTCTATCCTTGGGCAACATCCACACAAACAACAACCTAACAGTTCCAATGGATAATGATCAGAGTAATGGGTACAAGGGCCATTTGTTGCTGTGCTGTCAGCATATTGGAACCCTGAGCTCTTGTTGCGAATTGTGTGCATAGTGTACTTACAGCCTGGCTGATAGGGCACACTAAATTAGATAGCTACAATGCCACAGAACACAAAAGGAGGAAGGAGATGATTACAACAGACTGAGCAAATGTACAGCCTAGACTTCCTGGAATTTAGAACAGTGAGTAGCAATCCAATTGAAATTCATACAGGGCTCAAGAGGGTTGATGAGGAGGAAAATGTTTCCACTGGCTCAGGAGCTGAGGATGTGGGGCCATAGTCCCAAGGGCTCAGCCATTTAGGAGTCAGGAGGAGAAATCCCTTCACTGAGGATGACCATGGATCTTTGGGAATGGTCAAATCCAGAGACCATAGATGCTCACTCCTCACAACATTCAAAGTCAAGGTGAACAGATATTTTCAAGTTCAAGTTGCAGAGGATTTCAGGGATAGTGCAAGAACATGAACATAGACAAATCAGCCACATTGTGGAATGGCAGAATGAGAACCTATGCCAGCAGCTATTTCCGATGTGTATTCCAATAGCCCTCAGCTTGTGCACATCTTAAACTGCATCAAGTTCCATTCCCCTCATACTCCTCTCATTGGCTCCCAGTCAAACCCTGATTTAAATGTCCTTCCTGGTTGTCAGGCCATGCCATGGTCTCACCCACACTATGTCCAGCCTCAGCTTTCCCTCTCCAGATAACGGAGCTCCTCTAAACCTAACCTCCAGTCCATTCCCAAATATAATCACTCCATTCTTGGAAGCTGTACCTTCAGTGGTAGGTCCAAGCTCTGGGATTCCGTTCCTAATTCACCATCAAGCTGCTGCCCTTAAGACAGTTTGTGAAATCTTCAAGAAACTCCTAGTCATCCGGTTTACTGCCTCAGTAATCATTTTGTAATGCTCCTTGGGACATATCGCTAATAGCCAAATTCAATGCTGCTACTGGGGTCTTGGTTATCAAGAATGGAGCCCAAGTGTGCAATTGTGGTGGATAGTCTCCTATCATGAGATGACCATGAGCCAGATGTGAACTTTAAATCCATGTTGCCAGTGTTAGCAGACGGAGGTATTCCAATTCACAATTTAGTCACCAACTGAAGAAAAACGGGTCAGAAATTTAACCTTCAAGTTCAAGAAATTCAAATAGTAAAACCAAAAAGTACAGGAACAAATATAAATTAGTCAACTTGAAACCCAAGGTTATGTGATGTCAAGATGTAGCTTAGATGTTGCTGAGGTTTCATCTGAGAACCTTGTCTAGTGCTTTTGGCCTCCTTCTGTGAGAGAGACAGAGAGACAGAGAGACAGAGAGACAGAGAGACAGAGAGA